CCTAACTTACTGATCTAACTTTACCCAATTGACTTCTTTTTTTTTTATTTAAAAAAAAAATTTTTTTTTTCAACATTTATTTATTTTTGGGACAGAGAGAGACAGAGCATGAACGGGGGAGGGGCAGAGAGAGAGGGAGACACAGAATTGGAAACAGGCTCCAGGCTCTGAGCCATCAGCCCAGAGCCCGACGCGGGGCTCGAACTCACGGAGCGCGAGATCGTGACCTGGCTGAAGTCAGACGCTTAACCGACTGCGCCACCCAGGCGCCCCTACCCAATTGACTAATTGAGATATAGTATTCCCTCTTTCTGGAAAGAAAAATAATCCATTGTAGACTTTCTAAATCCCATATATAAACTTGGTTTATCTCCTCCCCATAATGATGGGACATTTCTTTATTGCTTCAGTGGCTAAAAACTCAGACAGACAGACAGACACACCCTTGCACTTGATCATCAAAACCTGACCAAGTGTCTTTAATAAAAATACAAAACCTCCATCCCAGAACTGACCTACTGCATCCCCAGTCCCAGGTTCCACCTTGCCAGGAGCAGGCTGAGGTGGTGCTGGACTGCTGTTCTTCACGGGCTCAGCACTAGTCCCTGAGGTAGTTTCTTTCCGTGAGGCTTTGGATGGAGGTGGCTCTTCTATCACAACACCACTTTGTCTCTGTCGTCGCCGTTTCTTACTCCACAATTCATGGCAATCCTGCCAGTGGGGGAGGCTGCAAAAGACAAAGCAAAGGGGAAATGTGTGTGGGACTAATGACAGTGAATGAATGGAGGAAGAAGAGATTAAAATAGGAAGGCAGGGGCGCCTGGGTGACTCAGTTGGTTAAGAGGCCGACTTCAGCTCAGGTCATGATCTCACAGTCCGTGAGTTTGAGCCTCGCGTCAGGCTCTGTGCTGATAGCTCAGAGCCTGGAGCCTGCTTTCGATTCTGTGTCTCCCTCTCTCTCTGCCCTTCCCCTGCTCATGCTCTGTCTCTCTCTGTCTCAAAAATAAATAACAACATTAAAAAAAAATAGGAAGGCAAAGAGCTGAGGGAAATGGAAAGAATAACATAAAAATAACCAGAAATATTAGTAAACAGATAGTAGCAATGTAAAAGGAATCATGGCATATGGTAGTCTGAGGAAATAAAAGACCAACAGATTTCTACAGTGAGAAATGAGACTCTTGCTAATATCAGAGTCACACCTACTATATAAACAACTACATTCCAATCAAAGAGTTAAGTCTGATAACTGTTCTTGCTGTGCATAACAAGAATAAAGAAGAACTTTATTGGTCAAGTTTCAGTTTGGAATAGATAGGACAGAGATGACTAGCCTATTAATATCTACAAAAGTCCAGGCAAGGTGGTGAACCACTTAAGCAGTGTATAATTAAATCACCTTTGTGTAAAATCAATTTATGGGTTATTTGGTCTTTGAGGACCAAAAAATAGGTTCTTTCTTCTTTCTACCCATGGAATTTCCATGACTCAGTATTTTCATTTGTGGAGTTTATTAGTATATTTTAATATATTTAATATATTTTCACATTTCCTCATACTCAATAATGCAAACAGTCCCGGAAAGTAAAATCTTATTATAATAAAGACTACTAGAGCCAAAATCTCTCTATAATAAGAGCTCCCAAATTTTAGTAAAAAGCTTATGTATTTCAAGCCAAAATTCAACGTATCAAAATTCTAGTGCAGTAAATGAGTTTGGACATTTCTTTGGAACAATCAGATTTGTGGTTACTACCCGTTCGTCTTTAAATACTGTGTATTTAAGATACACAGTTTCTCTATGTAAGAAAAAAATACCCAAAAACTCTGACATGAAAACTATAATGCTGTCAGTCATACAATGTCACATTATTGGCCAAATGTGAAACATGAGAGTAAAACTTCAGAAGATCCTATAGAATACAGAAAATGCATAAGATTCTGATGAAAGAGAGACACGTTCAAAGATATTTTCAACATCAAATAATTCAGGACATATGACCCAATAGTAACAAGCTATTTAAAATTAGAACTGCCCTTGCCAAGTGTGGGATATACATGGTCACCACAGACATGGGGGATTCAAGCAAATGGAACAGGTAAGAGCAAAAACTAGAAGGAATACTTTAAAGAGGCTGTATGTACAGGGCAATAAATAGTTTGAGTCAAATTAGAACAAATATCGTATCTAAATGTATTCCTTGTTTAAAAACATTAAGCAATAAAACCTCTTATCAATCATAATACTCAAGGGCACCTCTCCATTTGGGACTCAGCCATTTGCAGTTCCTTCTAAAAACCTATTATTTTGAGCTACACATCTCCTAAGGTTTAGTGGGGGGTTTAGGATCACTACTTGGCCACCAGCACTTACTCTGGAGGATCCATTTTGCTGAGCTCAACATCTTTAAGGAAGTCACTCTGTAGAGTCTGTTCAGCTGTGCAACGTTTGCTAGGATCTAGTGTCAGCATGTGGTCCAGTAAATCAAGTGCTGCCGAAGGAATGCTGTGGAAAGGAAGAAAGAACAAGTTCACAATGACCCCATAGTTCTTAAACCTATAACCTTAGGTCAAAGGTCTCTGAATTTCCACCTCCATGTAAAACTGTGGAAAAGGAACTAAAAGCTGGCTAAACAAGCAAGCAGATCTGCTGCCACAGAGGATTTATGCAATGCTATATAATACAAGTAAAAAACATGAAGCCAGCAGTTCCATTCTCTTTTTATTATGGAAATATCAAAAGGACTATGAGAAAATTTATATATTCCTCACAATAAAATGATTTATTTTTTCATCTAAAGCCTTCATAAGAGAAAATTACAACAAAACTATGATAAAATTCATACTGTTCAAAAAAAAATGTTTTCCTATGGTGTGCTGCCATAAGTTGGAACAACACTAACTCCCTAAGCTAGGAAAGTCAAGTCTAAACTCCAGCCAAACACAGAAACCAGATGTACATTTTTGCCAAACTCACAAAGAGAATTCTTCTCGCAGACGCCTTCTATATTGCTTCTTCGGTTTCATGGTATTGAAGTAGGGCAGCTTGATAACATCAGGCCACACAGCTGGACAAGGGCTACCACAGAGTCGACTGAAAACAAAGCAAAAAGCCAAAACAAGAAGTAAATGAGTCAGCATTGTGAATTCTGGAGATTACAGAAGCAGAAATTATTACCTCCCGAGGTCTGGGGAATCTTAGCTTATTAAATTAGAGCGCATGCAGAAAGGTAAAACCTGACCTCACTGCTTTAAGGACAGAAGGAATAGGACAGAAAGAGCTGGTTACAAGATAATGAAGAGAAAATACTGGCAAAATAGTCCAAAATGATGCATATACTTGATTTTGTAAAACATGTTTTTAAACCTCCATAAAGGTTTTCATTATCAATTATGTTCTGTTCAGTTAGTATTAATTTCAAAGTGCTGAGCTGGTCATATAATGTTCCTATAGGGAAAATTAGCAGAAGAGAGCCTAAAAATTTTGATAGAAAATTGAATTTAATGCACAATAATGAGTTATACACCACCTTTAAAGAAGTCTACATTAGCCTGTTGTATTCTTCTCTTTACTTATATTGATTAAAACAACCCCAGTCCTTCCCCAAATCCTCTAGTTTAGGTTCTATTTTATAATTATCTGTTTACATGCTGTATCACTTACTAAACTTTGAGCTCTCTGAAAGCAGGGACCTATCTTACTTACCTCTAAACCTTAAAGTTTAACAAAAAAAGGAATTTGTTATGGAACAGGCTTAATAAATGTTTGCTGAATACAGCTCATCTTAATCTAACCTAAGAATAAAACAGCTACCTTGAAAATGACATGCTTTTATATGAAGAACTAATAAAAAATATGCAAAGACCTAAAAAGTCTAAAAAGGGGGAACCTAAAAACTAAGACCCTTAGTAAGACCTAAAAAGGAGGAATATAATTTCTTTACATATATAGCCCATGATAAAATATGTGGTAAATCTGACTGAGAATATACTTGGATATATACTGACTTGAGAATACTTGGATATAAGCATAAAGTCAACTTTTAGTAGAATGACTGAAAAGTACTAGAAATTAGAGGATGAAATGACCTATCACACCTGGGCACTCAGAACACATGCATAGCTGTACCTGATCAGTTCTAGCTGAGCCAGTTCCAGATTGGCTTGAAAAATAGGCTTCTTTGTGAACAGTTCCCCAAGGATGCATCTAGAAAGAGTAAAATTGAAAGGTCAGGAGAGAAATCCCCGGAGCCTAAAGTGTGTCTCAAAAAATTTTTATAGTATATCTGGCAGAATTTGATATTACATGTTGTAAATAAGCCCCAAATTGCAGTGTCTGAATTTTGTAAAAGAAAATATTTCTTGGGGCGCCTGGGTGGCTCAGTCGGTTGAGCAGCCGACTTCAGCTCAGGTCATGATCTCGTGGTTCGGGAGTTCGAGCCCCGCGTCGGGCTCTGTGCTGACAGCTCAGAGCCTGGAGCCTGCTTCAGATTCTGTGTCTCCCTCTCTCTGCCCCTTCCCTGCTCATGCTCTGTCTCTCTGTCTCTCAAAGATGAATAAATGTTAAAAAATAAAATAAAATAAAATAAAATAAATTAAAAAAAAAGAAAATATTTCTTGTGGTGAGAATAGACAGTATTAAGAATTTAAATTTGCCAGGCGATCAAACTTTTACCATCTATAAAGGACGGTCTACAAGCAAAGAAAATGAGTCAGAGTCCTTTTCTACCAATTCCATTGTAAATTAAGGAAATAAACACTAAAAAACCCACACTTCAATTTTACAAGGATGCTCAGCAGTTCCTATAAAGAGATTAGCTTTTTCCATTCGTTTGCTCTGTAGAATGTGCAATATACTATAGCCCTCTTGGCACTGTATTTGTAAAGAAGCATTTATTGTCATCACCCAGAATCAGTTTCAATAGGACTTTCAAATACATTATGCTTAAATGCTTTTTCCATTTTGCAAATGCCTTCCAAAATAATACATATTTACAAAGTCCCCAGGTATGTCTCCACAAATTACTTAATTACAAAAGGAAATCTAGTAACTATTTAGTGGGAAAAAAAAGACAACACCTTAACTGAGTGAACAAAATTAACATCATCAATAAGAACGAAACAGGGTTCATTTAAGTATAAATGTGATACCTTGAAAAGAACACTTATGCAATATTCCAGCCAAAACTTCATAATATGAACCTATATAGTAGCTGGTCTGTCCTTCAAAATGTAAGTGTCGGAGCATCTGGGAGTCTCAGTCAGTTAAGCATCTGACTCTGGCTCAGGTCATGATCTCTCATTCGTGAATTTGAGCCCTGGACTGGGCTTTCTGCCCTCAGCATTGAGCCCACTTTGGATCCTCTGTCTCCTTCTCTCTCTGCCCCTCCCCCACTCATGTTCTCTCCCTGTCTCAAAAATAAATAAACATTAAATAAATAAATAAACAAACATTAAAAAAATATATCGAATCTCAAGTTGGTTAAACGTCCAACTTTGACTCAGGTCATGATCTCACAGTTTGTGGGTTTGAGCCCCACATCAGGCTCTGTGCTGACAGCTTGGAGCCTAGAGCCTGCTTAGGATTCCGTGTGTGTGTGTGTCTCTTTCTCTCTCTCTGCTCCTCCCCCCCCTCAAAAAATAAATAAAACATTTAAAAAATTTTATGTATATACATGAAAGACAAAGGTTAAGGAACTATTTCAGAGTAAAGAATGAGAACTAAATGTAATACATGATACTGGATCAAATCCTTTATCAGGTGAGGTATTGTTTCCAGGATGTTATTAGGGTACTGAAAAAGTAAGAACATGGAATGTAAGCTAAACTACTTTAAAATATAGTGTATCATTGTTAAATTTCCTGAATTTGATAATGCTACTGTGATTTTATATAAGAATATCTTTGTTCTTAAGAAATGTACATTAAAGGGGAGCCTGGGTGGCTCAGTCAGTTAAGCATCCGACTTCAGCTCAGGTCATGATCTCACAGTTCGTGAGTTCAAGCCCCACATTGGGCTCTATGCTGACAGCTCAGAGCCTGGAGCCTGCTTCAGACTCTATGTCTACCTCTCTGTCCCTCTCCGCACATGCTCTCTCTCTCAAAAATGAATACGCATTAAAAAAAAAAGAAATGTACATTAAATATTAAATGGTAAGGAGGATGACATGTACAACTACTTTCAATAGTTCTGGAAAAAAGATGTGTGCATATACACAATTTTATTCTATTTATATACTTTATGTTGTATGATATAAATACACATACATAAACATATGAATATAAAAAGCAAATGTGGCAAGATGCTAAATTTTAGTGAATCTAACATGAATAAATCTCAAAATAATTATGCTGAGTAAAAGATGCAAAAGGGAAAAAAGAACGAACATATACTGTATGATTCCATTTGTATAAAATTCCAGAAATGGAAATCAATTTATAGTGATAGAAAGCAGAACAGTTGTTGCCTAGGATAGTGTGGGACAGAAGAGAGAGATTACAAAGGAACACATGGAAACTTTTGTCTTGGTTGTGGTGATGGTTTCACTAGTGTATACAATATGCCAAAACTTCAATTGTACATTTTAAACATATGCAGCTTATTGCATACCTCAATTGAAAGATTAAAAAATTTTAATGAATATGGATAAAAGCTATACTAACGTTCTTTGTCCTTTTTAGTAACTCTTGTATATTTGAAATTATATCAAAATAAATCTATTTACTTAATTTAGTTAGTTAGTTTTAATTTTAATTCCAGTTAGTTAACATACAGTGTTATTATATTAGTTTCTGGTGTACAATATAGTAATTCAACAGTTCCATACATCACCCAGTGCTTATCACAAGTGCACTCCTTAATTTCAATCACCTATTTAACCCATCCCCCCATATCAAGATAAATTTAAAACAAATGTAAAAAATTACATGACTACTCTGTACTTTTTTGTATGCCTAAAATATTTTGTTTTTTGAAAAGTAAGAAAACAAATGGACAAAGAATCTCTTCTCTGGCCTATGCTTTGAAATTAGATTTGCTAATACAAAAGCAGTATTTATAGTTTTACTTTGAAATTCTTTAGCTTGACTAAATTTGAGAAGCAAAACAAAGCTAGTTTTTAAAGTTATTAGCACCTTTCTATTAGCATTTGTTAATCTCAAATGACAAATTCTCACTTCCATATTCACTCAAATCTTATCCAGAAATAGAAAAGTAAAAGTCAAGTTTAATTCTGTTTCCAACATAAACTGCTAAATCAAATTCCAAATACAGTGTTGTCACAACTGATAAAATAAGCAGAAAGAAAAACAAACCAACCAACCCAGGTGGGTTTTCAGAATCTAGACATAATTCGTTGTACCAGTCTTTCTAGTTTCTCCTTCAGAGAGAATTCCACGCACCAAAGTAGCAAGCTCACATCAAGAGTCTAGCAAAATCTCAATTCAATGAAGTTACTGGGCTTTATTTAAAGCCTAATCTTCTATAATTTTAATTTCCAAGTTGTGTTTTGGTGTTTCATTTCAGTTCTAGTTCTTTGGTGGGGAAGATATTATTATGTAATCAATACTTTGCTACTACACTGAGGTGGCAGGTTGCACACACTGAAATAATAGTACCAACAGAGCTATGAACTTTCCCTGTGTATCTTAATGGGGCGTTAACTTTAGAGCCTAGTTGTGACAATTTAAATGCTAATACTGTTAAAGCAAATAGTCCAGAACACAAACATACCCAGCTTGAATCAGTAAAATTTAACTAAAGCTTCATTTCAATTGGGGAGGCTACCAATGAAATTATGCTCTCCTTTTCTTTGACCCTTTTGAATTTTGAAATAAAACCCCTGCAGTTTTAAAGACTAACATTAATAGAGGAGGGAATGAATGGGAAAAAGTGATAAGCTCCACTGGCAAGTATATGTCAGAATCTTAAGGTATGCAGGTCAAGGACAGAGTGTGTATGCATAAATCATACAGTATCAGAAACAACGAACATGGCCCATTTAAAATGTCTATGTTCCTAATACACAGACTATCGTCTCTAAGTATTATTTTCCACTAAAAGGAATGGCTGATTTCAGGTCTAGGGCAGGAAATGAATAGGATGAGCCTGGAACCAGCAAACAAGGAAGGCTATCAAACACTATAGTTGTGTGGAAAGGACCCACTAAACTCCCTCCCACTGGTCAAAGATTGAAAAATGTGAATAGGAATAAGATGATAACCGTAACGGATTAAAACATATAAAACATGTTTAAATCCATGAGTTCATAATGAAACTAAAAAAACAGAAACAAACAAACAAAAAAAACCCACCCCAAACCCTCTCTTTGGTCATCTTTGAAGGATACTAGGAAACTACCTCATTACACTGAAAACTGGTGAGTAAAACGAGAGTTAAAGCTTTATATCTAACTTTTTCTATGTGGCTCGTACCTAGGGTTAGTAAAGTAAATGTTATCTTTATTCCAGGAAGGAATAATATAATTAGAATATCACCATCACAAACAATCACAAATGAATAAGTGAAGGTGGATCATTAATAGCTGACATTTCAAAAAGAGATTGTATATTATGTAAAGTGGGGCATGTGTGTGTGTACGTGCGTGCATGTGTATGTGTAAATCTGCCCTGTTAGGGATGAATATTTTATCAAGCATTGTTTAGAACTGCCTGTATAATATGATAATAAAAGCAAACTAATGTTTTATTGCTTTTAACTTGTCTACAGATAACATACCTAGTTCTTGACTATACTCTGGGCAGAGGCTCCTATTGCCACCTACCCCCAACTTTGATGTATCATTAACTATAAACTTCCAGAGGTACTCAAAACCACCTGTGAAGTAATTTCAGGGTCAGTGGATAATTGGAAATCAAACATAAATTCACCTACAATTTACAGGAAATAAAAGGGATAGAAAACCATGCTAAAACAACAAAAAACACAGTGAAGATGCAATCAACAAAATTCAGACTGTGGGAACAGACAAAAATGACACAGTTTCTACTAAGGAAATTACTGGGGGTGGGGGGAGGGTGGCGGGGACCTCAAGAGAAATGGAAGGAGAAGCTACAATTAAAAGACTTGAGATAATCAACTGCAATCTATGGACTTTATTTGAATGTATTTGGATCTGAATTCAAATGATGTTAAAAAAAAAAAAAAAAA